CCCTGAATCCTATAAGGAAAAGAATTAGTAAACCCATACCATTCAGGCCCTAATTAGGAGTCTTAAATGTATAAATAGGGAACTTAGGAGACCCGGAACCCCCCCACACGCCTAGACGCCCCATCACCTCAGGAGAGCTCCAAGAATTCCCTTAGAAGAAATCAGGAAAGCAAGTAAGCTTAAAGAAAGATCCTTCATAGCCAAGGAATTAATTAAGGCTAAGAGGTAACCCATGTCTCAACAAAACCTATTTTCATAGCTATGATTTCCCCTTAGGGTTTCCCCCATATTGTTGTAAATGGTGATTGATGATGATTATTATTGATGTCGATATAATGATTCCATGAGGAACCTTGATAATCTTGATATTGGGAGTTTCTTGATAATTATGATGTTTTTGATGATTAATTGGGGTTTTGATGATTATGTGTTGTTCTTGATGATTATGATGTTTTGATGATTAATTGGTATCCTTGATGATTATGTGTTGTCCCTACCGAATCTTGCAATTAGAAGATGAATTGTATTCTTGTTGATATAAAAGTGATTAGAACCCTAGGTTGTATCGTATGATATTATTCTTGGATTATCGGGTGGGGAAATCGCATGTTTGGGTGTTGATTATAGTTAGAAAAGCATGATAGATTATGTGTCGTTCGTTTCTCGTAATTGATCCGTTAATTATCTACGTGTCGTCATTAATTGCGTTGTAAAGTGTCTAAGCATGGTTTCGGGTTCCACAACGGTTCCCGGGACGAAAATTTGATGAAAGAGTCAGTGGGGGGTAGGGGACCCGCCACCTACCCACGGCCGAGAACACTGTTCCGGCAGCGGGCAGCAGGCGGGCGGGCAGCTGCCCGCCGGCGCCCCGTTGCCCGGAACAGTATTGCCCGGCGGGCAGCCGGCGGGTGGACCCCCACCCACCGGCTACCCGCTGGAAATTCCCCCCCCTCGGAACCCCGGCTTCCCCGTTTGATGTTTCCCCGATCCCCGTGGTGTCCCAACGGACCCCGTTTGTCGTGCCTATGTCTAGTTTGATATTTCGGGTACCGTTCGTGGGTTTATGAGTCTATTATATTGCATGCTAGTTGAATTGGTATCCCGTTGACCTAGGTGGAAGAAGTATGAACCCCTTAGGACTATTCTTAGTAAGTGATGGATCACGCATAGGTTCTGTTATACGTTTTATCCTCCTTCCCAAGGTGTAATGTGGGTTGCATGTGCTTGCTATGTGTTATGTGTGCGTGTTACCCCAATTCGATTGCGATCGGATTGGTTATCCTGAGCTGCGGTTCAGAAGCCGGCTATGGTCAGATGGGAATTCCTGGCTGTAGTCGGATGACGGTATCCTGGGCTGCGGTCCAGAAGCTGGTTGTAGTCAGATGGGAATTCCTGGCTGCAATCAGGTGACATCTTTCCTGAGCTGCGGTTCAGAGGCTGGCTGTAGTCAGATGGGAATTCCTGGCTACAGTCAGATAACACACTCTCTTGGGCTGCGGTCCACTGTTTGGTTGCGATCAAACATTATGATGAGCTGCGGTTCATCGGTCGGTTGCGATCGACCCCTCCGTGTTGTGATACGGTGCAGGGTGCTGCGGGGCCGTGTCAGAGCTATATGCGCTGACCCTCATGTATGGGCATGCGATTGGTCCTGTGGCGCCAATAAAGTGTGTTATGTGTTGTGATATGGATGAGTGGTGATTATGAGTGTCTTGGGGGATGTGACTATGGGATTTATATTGGGGATTGTTCATGTTGGGTTATGATTATTGTTATGTTTTGCCTTATCTGCCTTATCTGTTGTGAACTGCATATGCTCGTTATAACTGTTGCTGGTGTCTGACCTTATCTGTCGAGTCATTCCCGGTTTTAAAGCTAGAGTTCGTAGGATATATTCTCATGCTCAAAATGGTTTTCGTATATCTATATATATATATATATATTGCTATATGTATTGTATTTCAACGCGTTGGAGTGGGTTACCAGCATCTCTCGCTGAACAGATATATTTGGCTTTCAGGCACAGAAGAATAAGTCACTGGAGAGCGCTAGCACTCGAAACGTAAAAGTAGTTAGTCCCCTTTCAGCCTGCGTGCCATATTATGCATTTACATTATTAAGGATATTAGTTAGTTAGCCTGTGCACCTGGGTTCTCCAGCTCAGGTGTGGCATAGCACCCCGTACACTTGTATTATGTTTTGGGATTTAATGAGATAATACCTTTATTTTATAAGTTTTAAATGTCTTGAAAATCTGGGGTGTTACAGTCCAGGGGTGAAAGAGTGGATTAACACACCGGGCTTCAGGGACGAAGCCCCTTGTAAGGGGGGGAGAGTGTAACACCCCGTGTTACGATCCCTAAAACCAATTAATCATTTAATCATTTACCCAAAAGAAAGAATTAAATTCCAGTAATTAATTAGAAAAAGGCCCACCATAGTCCATGGGCCTTATCCCTGTAGCCAACTCCTTAGTCCTATAAGGAATAGGACTAGCCCTAATTGGGACTCTTAGGTATATAAATAGGGGACATAGGAGGCACCTAGAATCCCCCACCACAATAATCCCTCACCACACAAGAAGTTCCAAGAATTCCCTTAGGAGAAATCAAGAAAGAAGAAAGCTTAAAGAAAGACCCTTCATAGCCAAGGAATTAAGGCTAAGAGGTAACCCATGTCTCAACAAAACCTATTTTTATAGCTATGATTCCCCTCTTAGGATTTCCCCCATATTCTTGTGTGATTGATGATTCGTTATATTGATCTTGGTAATTGGTGTTATGATTCCATGGGTGATCTTGATGATCTGGAGAGGTTCTTGATGATTATATGGTGTTCTTGATGTTCTTGATAATTATGTGGTGTTCTTGATGATTATATGATGTTCTTAATGTTTATGTGAAATTCCTACCGAATCTTGATATTAGGAGATGAATCGTGCTCTTGTTGATTTAAAAGTAATTAGAACCCTAGGTTGTATCGTGGAACTCGTATGGTGTTATTCTTGGTATTTTGGGTGGGAATTCGTAGGTTTGGGTGTTGATTATGTTTAGAAAAGCATGATAGGTTATGTGCCGTATGTTCTTGCTTTTGGATCCGTTAATTGTCTACGTGTTATTGTCCATTACGTTTGTAAGTGTCTAAGCATGGTTCCGGGTTCCACGATGGTTCCCGGGGCGTTTAATTGTGAAGAAGATTTAGTGGGGGGTAGGTGGGGGTAGGGGACCCGCCACCTACCCACGGCTAAGAATGGCCTCGCCGGCAGCGGGCAGCCGGCGGGCGGGCAGCTGCCCGCCGGGCACCCGCTGCCCGGAACAGTACCGCCGGCGGGCAGCCGGCGGGTGAACCCTCACCCACCGGCTACCCACTGGTTTGCATCCCCATTTGGGATTTTGGCTTCCCCGTTTGATGTTCCCCCAATCCCCGTGATGTCCTAACGGACCCCTCCCATTGTGCCTATGTCTAGTTTGATGTTCGGATACCGTACGTAGGTTAAAAGAGTCTTGTATATTACATGCTAGTTGGATGGGTATTCCATTGGCCTAAGTGTAAGAAGTATGAACCCCTTAGGACTATTCTTAGTTGTGGATGACCACGCGTAGGTTTCGTTATACGATATCTCCCCCTTCCCAGTGTGCTAATATGGGCTGCTTGTACTTGCTATGTGTTGTGTGTGCATGTTACCCCAATTTGGTTGCGATCAAATTGGTTATACGGGCAGTTGGATAGGTTGAGAACCATACTAACTGTTAACCAGGCCGGTTAGGATCGGTCGGGTATATAAATATTATATAGGACTGAGGTCCACTATACGGGCAGTTGAATGGGTTGAGAACCATCCCAACTGTTAACCAGGCCGGTTAAGATCGGTCAGGTATATAAATATTATATAGGGTTGCGGTCCACTATACGGGCAGTTGAATGGGTTGAGAACCATCCCAACTGTTAACCTGGCCGGTTAAGATCGGTCAGGTATATAAATATTATATAGGGCTGCGGTCCACCGTTCTACATGAGCTGCGGTTCATATTTCCTAGCTGCGGTCAGATGACATACTCTTGGGCTGCGGTCCACTGTTTGGTTGCGATCAAACTATGATGAGCTGCGGTTCATCGGTCGGTTGCGATCGACCCCTCCGTATTGTGAGACGGGGCAGGGTGCTGCGGGGCCGTGTCAGAGCAATATGCGCTGACCCTCATGTATGGGCATGCAATTGGTCCTGTGGCGCCAACAAAGTGTGCTATAGGATGAGATAAGAAGGATTGATGCTGTGACTATTATGGAAACGTGACCATAGGATTCTTGCTAGTGAACTATACATGTTTAATTGTGATTATTGGTTGTGTTTATCTATAACTGTGCCCTATGTCGAGAATTGTATATACTTGGTTATGACTGTGGGTTGTGTGTACCCCTATTTGTCGAGTCGGTTCCCTGATTTGAAAGCTAGAGTCTCTTAGGATATATCTTCATGCTTCGAAATGACTTTTCGTATATCTATGTATATATCTATATGTATTGTATTTCAACGCGTTGGAGTGGGTTACTTGCATCTCTCGCTGAATAGATATATTTGGCTTTCAGGCACGGATGAGTAGATCACTGGAGCGCGCTAGAGGTTGGGGCGTAGATTAGATAGTTCTTCCCTTTCGGCCTGCGTGCCATGACTTGTATTGATACTGATTGAGATTGTTAGAATCTAGCCTGTGCACCTGAGTTCTCTAGCTCAGGTGTGGCATAACACCCCATACTCTTATAAATGTTTTGGGATTTATGATCATTTACCTTTGTTATATAGTCTTTAAAAGTTTTAAAATTTCGAGGTGTTACATCGGAGGCCGCGGTCAGCTCCGTGCTGGTCCGGGACGACGAGGGGGTCCAGCGGCCCGTATACTCTACGGGGGGCGGAGGTCAGGTTCACACCCGTGGAGAAGGCCATCTTTGCGGTAGATGCGACGGCAAAAAAGCTGAACCACTACTTCCAGGCCCACCCCGTACAGGTCCTCACAAATCAGCCACTAGACGAGGTGCTGAGGGCCTCAGGGTCGGCCAGCAGGTTGGTCAGGTGGGCCATGCGGCTGAGCCTGTTCGACATCCAATTCAAGCCCATACCCGCCATCAAGGGGCAGGCACTTGCTGACTTCATAGTCGAGTGTATCGCCCGGGGGGCCACGGAACGGGTCCGGGATGAAGACGAGGAGTGGTGGACCCTCTCAACGGACGGGTCCTCCAGCGCCAAAAGCTGCGGGGGTGGAGTCGTACTCATAACCCCGGAGGGGTTCCGGGCCTACTACGCCCTCCGCTTCGCGTTCAAGCTATCCAACAACGAAGCTGAGTATGAGGCGCTCCTAGGGGGGCTCCGCCTCGCGCTAAATATGAGGGTGGAAAAGCTCAAAATCCGGTGTGACTCCAAGCTCGTCGTGGGACAGGTCACAGGTGAGTTCGAGGCAAGTGATGACAGAATGAGGAGGTACCGGGACGTGGTGCTCCAACTACTGGGGCAGCTGATCAATTACGAGATCCTACAGGTGCCTCTGGACCAGAACACAGACGCTGACATGTTATCCAAGCTCGCCCAAGGGGCCCCGGAACATATTTCAAAAATAGCTCGGATTGAGGATTTCAAGAGGTTGAGCCTAGACGCATACCCGGTCCTACCTGTGCAAGCCCGACCTCCCTGCTGGTTGGACCATCTCAATGAGTACAAGAAAACTGGTGCGCTACTTCCCGACGAGGTCGACGCCAAGCTGGTGAAACGACGAGCCCCTACGTACGTGATCATAGGGGACACACTTTACAAGAGGTCCTACAACGGCGCCTTGCTGCGCTGCCTATACCCAGACGAGGCCAGGGCTGTCATGGAGGAAATCCACGAGGGGACCTGCTCCGCCCACCAGGGGGCCTTCGCCATGTCCCGGAGGGCCATCTTACAGGGGTACTTTTGGCCCAAAATGGCCAAGGAGTGCGCCGACTACGCCAGGAGTTGCGAAACCTGCCAGCACTTCCAGGTCACCCCCGGCCGACCTGCCACGAGCTACACCCCCTCAGCTCGGTCATCCCCTTCTCCAGGTGGGGAGTGGACCTAGTGGGAGCTCTACCCATGGGGTCGGGGAAAAGGAAGTACCTCATAGTTGCAGTGGACTACTTTACCAAGTGGGTGGAGGCGGAACCACTGGCAACTATAACAAGCGCCCGTTGCAAGCACTTTGTGTACAAAAACATTTTGTGCCGTTTTGGGGTCCCGATGCAACTCATCACCGACAACGGACGCCAATTCGAGGGGCAAGAATTCAAGGGGTTCTGTGCAGAGTGGCACATTACTCAGAGCCGGGTGGCCGTGTGCTACCCTAAAGCAAATGGGCAGGTGGAGAACGCCAACCGCACCATTGTGGATGGCCTAAAAAAGAAATTGGAATCCGCAGGGGGGGCGTGGGTAGAGTAGCTCGACGCCATTCTTTGGGCCTACCGCACCACCCCCCAGAGGGCCACTGGGGAGACACCTTTCTCCTTGGCCTACGGGTTCGAAGCTCGAGCCCCAGCAGAGGTAGTCATACCTTCCCGCCGGGACGAGGACTATGACCCCGACACGAACGAGGAACACCATAGAACTGACCTCCACCTGATCGATGACAGGCGCGAAGCAGCTGCGATCCGAGCTGAGAACTACCAAAGGCAAACCAAAGCATACCATGACAAGCGGATCCGGCCCCGCTACTTCCAAGCGGGAGACTACGTGCTCAGGAGGAGGGAGGCAAGCCAGCCCCAGGCGGGAGGAAAATTTGCTGCCAACTGGGAAGGCCCATACATTGTAGCAGCCGTGGTCCGCCCGGGTAGTTACAAGCTCAAGACCCCCAAAGGGAAGATAATAGCCAGGATCTGGAACTCAGAACACGCCGCGCGAAAGGTGGACTTTGAAATGCTATTCTAGGAGGACGACCATTCCCCTCCCCCAATAATGTTTTAGTGAACGGCAATAATATCGCAACATTGGTTCTCATCCATTCTTTCTCCTTTATAAAAATAAATAAAAATCATGAAACAAAGCGGAACGAGTGCTCACTCACGCCTTCCCCCGCGGACCCTAAGGGGGCACGAGGTTTGACCTCGCGTACTAACCCCGACGGAGGACACACCCTAAGGGGGCACGAGGGCCGACCTCGCGTACTAACCCCAACGGAAGAGCCCGGGGGCACAGTCCGAAAGGACTTGGCTCGAGCGGCTAGCGCGCACCCTAAGGGGGCACGAGGCCTAACCTCACGTACAAACCCCGACGGAGGAGCCCAGTGGTTTGGTCCGACAGGACTAGGCCCGAGCGGTTAGGCGCACCCTAAGGGGGCACGAGGTCCGACCTCGCGTACCAAAACCGGTGGAAGAGCCCGGTGGCGTAGTCCGGAAGGACTTAGCCCGAGCGGCTGACGCACCCTAAGGGGGCACGAGGCCTGACCTCGCGTACCAACCCCGACGGGGAGCCCGATGGCGTAGTCTCGTAGGACTATGTTTTGAGGATAACACTAGGCAAAAAAAAAAAAAAAAAAAAAAAAAAAAAAAAAAAAAAAAAAAAAAAAAAAAAAAAAAAAAAAAAAAAGAAAGATAGACCTATCACGCCCCGACAACACCGGGGCGCAGCAAGGTACCACCTCGGCCGTACAGCCGGGGTGCACCATGCTGCATGCACCTCGGCTGTACTGCCGGGGTGCACCGCGCTGCGTGTGCCTCGGCTTGCACCAAGGTCTAGTACCTCGGCGCAATCCGAGGTCGAGAACCCCGGTACCGGTCGGGCACCCGCAAAAAAAAAAAAAAAAAGAACCCAACGTGGTCACGACAACAGGAGGACATAATCCAACATAAGTCCTAAGCATATAATGAATATCCAACATTCGAAGCATAGCAAGATAAAATAGGAGGAGTCATCAAGCAAAATAAACAGCAAAAGAGGGCAACAATCCACATCCAAAGTCTATGCTCGGATACACAAAATAGGGAATAAGCTAAAACAAGCGCAATCAAGGCTGCTCACCCGAACTCGGCGCGGTGGCAAGTGGCAGCTCAGTCGACGGTGCAACGGTAACGGTCACTCCCTCAGCCCCCTCATCCAAGTCAGGGACGTGAACGCTCAGCAAAGTGGGTGAAATAACTCCCGAAGAGGCCACCAACTCCACAGGCTCGTCGGCGCGATCAAGGGGTGATAGTGAGAAGCCCGCCGCAGGGGTCACTGGCTCGGGGTTCTCCATCTCGGCCGGCAGCTCGAGGGCGACCGGGTCGAAGGCGTCTCCTTTCTGATGAAGGACGGTGTAGATCTCCTGCTGCATAGCATATCGGCCCACCTGGAAGGCCATAGCACTCTCCTCCGCAATCGTCTCCTTCCCAGCGTCACTAGCTAGCCACGAGGTGACTATGTCGCCGCTGCGCCCACGGACGTACTCCTCGGCATCTCGCTCGAACTCATCAGATTTCTTGTAGGCAGGGATGACCCGTCCAAGCTCCTCTGCATGCCTTTTCTTCTCCGCCTCCAAAGCCTTCCGGGACTCGGCATCACGTCTGACCGCCTCATCGGCCCGCCTGGTCTCGGCCTCCAAGGCTCGCACCAGCTCGCGAGCGCGACCCTGCTCATCCTCGACAAGGGCCACGGTGGACACGGCCCAACCCTGAGAAGAGGCACAATCATAACAAGACAACAACAAGGACTAAGTGTAATAAAGGAAACCCAAGCAAGAGTACATACCTCGAAGGTCCGGAGGGCCTCTCGAATGATAGCGGGCAAGCTCCACGTCGTGTGCTCGGTCAGCGGCAGCGGGGGTGGAACGGCCGGCGGTACGGGGGGGCGACTCGCCTGCAGCCGCGCCCCTCCCGGCGGGGGCGCACCAAGCTCAGAAGGGGGCACGCCAAGCTGCGTAGTAACTTTCTATCTCTTTGCAACGGGGCCACGCGCCACAACGCGCTCAAGGCGCTCACGGAACGAGGACATGATGGGAGGCCTCGCTGCAAAAGGAAACGAACCGGGGTTAATCCATAAGTCATACATATAAACGATGGTCCAGCGAAGGAGGGGGAACAGACCACGAGTAGAGGCATGCGAAGGGCCGACAGCGGACCCGGAAGACCTGGGCTCGACAAAAACCTCATCCGAGGATCCCGAGGACTGCTCTGGTGGCTCATCATCTGAAAAGTCGGTCAAGGGACGGGCATCCGACTTGGACGTATGCAGAAGGTGCGGACGAATACATGGCGGTAGCGGTCCATCCGACACAAAACCCAGGCCACGCATATTCTTCGCCGTAATCATCTCGCCGATAACAATCTCTCCCCGATCGCCCCGGAAGGCGTGGATGTCCCGGGCTAAGGAGGCCGTCTGAAGCGGGGCCTTGTGGCGCACAAACCTGTTGTTCCAAGATAGGAACGGGCGAGGGTCGCCAACCGAGATGAAGACAAAGTGCGGTTTCCAATCTCTGTTGGTCGAATTGAAGTCATGGAACGTCTTCATACGCACCCGGGCCGCTATACCCACGAACCCCTTACTGGCCTGGCCGGAAGACGAGGTGACTTGAAACAAGCTCTGTAAGAGATCCATGTAGGGCTTGACGCGAATGGTGTGGCAGCGAAGCAAGAAGGCAAGAAGTAAGTAATGGGCATTCGGAACAAACTGCCCGGGTGCGATGCCGTAATGGTTAAGGAAGGATTCGACGAAGGGATGGATAGGGAAGCGAAAACCGAGGTATAGGGACTGCACGTGAACCCCAAAGAAGAGAGGTGTCGGAGGCTCAGTGACGTTCCCCGACGGAAAAGGCAGGCGCACCTCAGCCGTAGACCCAATATAGCCCTTGGCCTCCTCAAACTCCTGCGCGGAGGTCCGAGCCAAAGTCGAGGTCGGAACGAGCGTCTCCAGAGGGGTGTACTGGACAGGATCCTCGTACGGGACAGCAAAGGGGTCCTCCATGACGGGGGGATGGGCGTCCAACGGACCCTCGTAGGGCGTGGTAACCTCCCCAGACGGGGAATGGGCTGGAAAAGGAGTAGGGGGTCGCTAGTGTCATCCATGGGAAGGATGTGGGTGTCTACGGAGTCCAAAAAGTCGTCCAAGGAACCGGAGGAAGTGTACATGCACCAACTAAACCTACGACATAAAAGAGAAGGGGTATAAAGACGGGCTGTGCTAAAAAAAAAAAAAAAACAGAGGCGGTGGACCTCGGCCCTAGGCCGAGGTCGAGGTCGGCCCGACCCCGGTGATCCCGTCGCAGGGGATCAGCCGGGACCGGGGTCGGCGCGACCTCAGCGCCGGTGGTCAGCATGACCCCGGCGCCCGGAGGGCGGCGCAGCCCCGGCGAAGGGGGACGGCCCGGCGTGGCCTGTACCCGGAGGGCCGGCCGACAGCCACGGAGGCCACCGCGCCGGTGCTGCGGAGGGGCAGCACGACAGAACCGGTCGGCAGCCACCGCGCCGGCGCGGTGGGGGGCAGCACGGCGGATTTTCGAAAAAAAAAAAAAAAAAAAAAGAGTGGTAGGAGAAGGGGCGTATCACGCTCGGGCCCGGGGCTCGGCGACGGAGAGCAGCTGGGGTCGGTCGGAGGTCGGGTTGCCGCTGCGGGAGGAGGTCGCCGGAAGTTGTTGCCGGAGACTCTCCGGTGGACTACCGGAATGCGGTGGGGGCTGGCCGGATTTTTGGGGAGAGGATGGATGTTGGAGTGATGGAAAGTGGAGAATGAAAGGGGGAATGGGTTTATATAGAAGAGGGGGAGATAGGAAGAGGGGGAGTTTGAAATTCAAAATGCAAAAAAGAGGGGGGAAAAGGTGAAAAGATGGATGTGATTGGTTGACTTGGAGAAGATGAGCAAAACCCAAGAGGACTCTACTGTGTATGTGTCCTAGCAGATGAAGGAGTCATGTTCCGGATGGAGTTCTTCATCATTATCTCGAGAAGTGCGCTTGGACGGCACCTATAGCACTGGGACGCGGACGTCTCGGGGTCGGCATTTTGAGAGGTCAGCCGGAGCATCTACTCTCCATCACTGACGATTACTCGCAGCTCGGAGAGTGGGGGACTGATGACGGATATATTAGGAATCGACCCGAACCGACCCGAAGGCGCGAAG